TAGGCCCCAGACCCAGGGTACTACCTTCTTGGGTGGGCGCCCCAAGAACCCAGACACCAGTCCAGTTGATGCAAACAGCAAGAGGTTTATTGATGTGGCTGTACAGTCGGGCTGCTCTTGTCCTGAGGGCAAGAGTCACATCCTACTGTTGCTACATAGGTACTTTTAAAAGAAAAACCCACAAAATCCACAAGATTACAATTCCCATATAATTTCATTTTGATTGATTTATGTCTAGAGGCTAATTTCACAAGATCATGGCCTGATCACAGGGTGAGTACAGTCACATCTGTCTGCACGCACATTCTTCCCAAAACCTCAAGGGGGGTATCAGGGTGGGAGTGAGAATTACACAAAGGTCACAGTGGTCTTTCCTGGAACACTTGCAATTATCCCAGTCACAGCTGAGCGCATCTCTTAATAGAAATCTCTTTACATTGTTACATTGTGGCAGGGGTGGTTGGGTAATGGCTGAGTCAGTTTGCCCTTGGAACTAGCTTTTCAGTTCCTCATTCTCCTGGGGCTTGGGGGGGGGTGTAAGCCTGAAGGGTTAGGGTCTTTTATTAGAGTGGGGTAAAATCTTTTAATGTAAGGATTGCTTTTCTATGTTAAAGTCATCTAATTTTTGCAAACTTAATGTATATTTAGGTGTGTTTATTCTAATCCTACTAAGTTTTTTGTTGGTTTTGTGGTTTGTTGGTGTTTTGCTCCTATTCCAGGCTAACATAAAATATTCTGACTTCTAAATGAAAGACTTATATGAATAGCAAAGCATATACAGAGATATTTAACTGTTAAATACTAATTTGTTTCTATTTTTGCTTTGAGCATACCTCATGACTCTGAAGGATTAAGTCATTTTTTAAATTCTTATTTATTAAGAAAATTTCTACTCACTCCTCATGCTATTCACAGAACACCCTCCTCCCTTCTCCCATCTGCCAGCCCTCTTTCCCAAGCCACCCCACATCCCCACATCCCCCAAATCGAGGTATCCCATGGGGAGTCAGCAGAGACCAGATCACTGAGACTAGGCAGATTCAATCCCCTTCCCACTGCACCAAGGCTGTGCAAGGTGTCACACCACAGGCACCAGATTCCCAGAAGCCTGCCCATGTACCAGGGACAGATCCTGATCCCCCTGCCTGGGTGTCCCCCAAACAATTCGAGCCAAACAACCATATTCTGTGTCCAGAGGGTCTAGTCGAGCCCCATGGGGGATCTACAGCCACCAGTCCACAGTTCATGGGTTTCCACTAGTGTGGTCCGTCATCTCTGCACATCCTTCCATCATGATCTCGATGTCCCTCACCTTCAGTATCTCTCCTCTCTCACATCAACTGGATTTCCGGGACTCATCCTGGTGCCTGGCCGTGGCTCTCTGTATCTGCCTCTATCTGTCACTGGACAAAGGCTCTATGATGACAGTTAGGGTATTTGCTAGGCTGGTCACCAGAGTAGATTGGTCCAGGCACTCTCTGGACCACTGCCAGCAGACCAAGGTGGGGTCAACCTTGTGGATTCCAGAAAGCCTCCCCAGCACCCTGCCTCTTCCTATCCCCATGATGTCCTCATCTACCATGGTATCTTCCTCCCTGCCCTCCCACTCTGTCCTTGTTCTAGCTTGACCCTCCCATTTCCCTATGTTCTCATCCCCCACTCCTCGCCCTCTGCCACCCCCCCACACCCAGTCCACTCATGTAGATCTCTTCCAATCTTCACGGGAGCATCCATGTGTCCCTCCTAGGGTCTTTCCAAGTTAGCTAGCCTCTATGGATTTGTGGGTTGCAATCTGGCCATCCCTTCCCAACCATTTAGTATTCACTTATGTGTGAGTACATACTATGTTTGTCCTTCTGAGTCTGGGTTACCTCACTCAAGATGATATTTTCTAGTTCCATCCATTTGCCTGCAAATTTCATGATATCATTGTTTTTTACCACTGAGTAGTATTTCATTGTGTATATGTGCCATATTTTCTTTATCCATTCTTCATTTGGGGGGCATCTAAGTTGTTGCCAGGATCTTGCTATTGCAAACCCTAACCCTTCAGGCTTACACCCCCCAAGCCCCAGGAGAATGAGGAGCTGATATGAACATAGTTGAGCATGTGTCTTTGTGGTAAGAATGAGCATTCCTTGGGTATATACCCAAGAGTGGTATAACTGGGTCTTGAGGAAGACTTATTCCCAACTTTCTAAGAAACTGCCACACTGATATCCAGAGTGGTTGTACAAGTTTGCATTCCCACCAACAGTGGAGGAGTGTTCCCCTTGCTCCATATCCTCTCCAACATAAGCTGTCTTCAGTGTTTTTGATCTTATCCATTCTGACAGGTGTAGGATAGTATCTCAGAGTTGTTTTGATTTGCATTTCTATGATGACTAAGGATGTTGAGCAATTCCTTAAATGTCTTTCAGACATTTGAGAGTCTTATGTTGAAAATTCTCTGTTAAGCTCTGTAGCCCATTTTTTAATTGGATTGTTCAGTATTTTGATGTCTAGATTTTTGAGTTCTTTATATATTTTGGAGATCATCCTCTGTCAGATGTGGGGTTGGTGAAGATCTTTTCCCATTCTGTAGGCTGTCCTTTGGTCTTATTGACCGTGTCCTTTGCTCTACAAAAGCTTCTCAGTTTCAGGAGGTCCCATTTATTAATTGTTGCTTTCAGTGTCTGTGCTACTGGTGTTATTATATTTAGGAAGTAGTGTGCTGTGCCAATTTGTTCCAGACTACTTCCTACTTTCTCTTCTGTCAAGTTCAGTGTAACTGGACTTATGTTGAGGTCTTTGATCCACTTAGACTCGAGTTTTGTGCATAGCAACAGATATGGATCTATTTGCAATCTTCTGCATGTTGACATCCAGTTATGCCAGCACCATTTGTTGAAGATACTTTCTTTTTTCCATGGTACAGTTTTGGCTTCTTTGTCGAAAATAATATGTTCATAGGTGTGTGGATTAATGTCAGGGTCTTCAATTTGATTCCATTGGTCCACATGTCAGTTTTTATACCAGTACCAAGCTGTTTTTATTACAGTAGCTGTATAGTAGATCTTGAGGTCGGGGATCATGATGCCTCCAGAGGTTGTTATTGTACAGGATTCTTTTAGCTATCCTAGGTTTTTTGTTTTTCCATATAAAGTTAAGTATTGTTATTTCCAAATCTGTGAAGAATTGTGTTGGGATTTTGATGGTGATTGCGTTGAATCTGTAGATTGCTTTTGGTAAGATTGCCATATTTACTATGTTGACTCTACCAATCCATGAGCATGGGAGATCTTTCCATTTTCTGACATCTTCAATTTCTTTCTATATTATATTATTTTTGGCTATTGTAAAGGGCGATGTTTCTCTGATTTCTTTCTCAGTCCCTTTTTCATTTGTATATATGAGGGCTACTGATTTTTTTCAGTTAATCTTGTATCCTGCCACTTTACTGAAGGAGTTTATCAGCTGTAGGAGTTCCATGGTAGAATTTTTGGGGTCACTTATATATACTATATTATCATCTGCAAATAATGAAAGTTTGACTTATTCCTTTTCAGTTTGTATCCCTTTGATCTACTTTTGTTGTCTTATTGCTCTAGCTAGAATTTCAAGTACTATATTGAATAAGTATGGGGAGAGTGGACAGCCTTGTCTTGTTCCTGATTTTAGTGGAATTGCTTTGAGTTTCTCCCCATTTAATTTGATGTTAGCTGTTGGCTTGCTGTAAATTGCCTTTATTATGTTTAGGTATGTTCCTTGTATTCCTGATCTCTCCAAGACCTTTATCATGAAGGGATGTTGGATTTTGTCAAAGGCTTTTTCAGCATGTAGTGAGATGATTATGTGGTTTTTTTCTTTCAGTTTGTTTATATGGTGTATTACATTGACAGATTTTCGTATGTTGTATTTGGGGCATAAATATTCAGAATTGAGACTTCATCTTGTTGGATTTTCCATGTGATAAATATGTAATGTCCTTCCCAATCTCTTTTGATTGATTTTTGTTTGAAGTCTATTTTACTAGATATTAGGATAGCTACACCAGCTTGATTCTTAAATCCATTTGATTGGAATGTCTTTTCCCAGCCTTTTATTCTGAGATGGTATCTGTCTTTGAAGTTGAGGTGTGTTTCTTTTTTTTTTTTTTTTAAAGATTTATTTATTTATTATGTATACAGAGGAGGGTGCCAGATCTCATTACAGATGGTAGTGAGCCACCATGTGGTTGCTGGGAATTGAACTTGGGACCTCTGGAAGAGCAGGCAGTGCTCTAAACCTGTGAGCCATCTCTCCAGCCCGAGGTGTGTTTCTTTTATGCAGCAAATGGGTGGATCTTGTTTTTGTATCCATTCTGTCAGGCTGTGTCTTTTTATAGGTGAATTGAGACCATTGATATTGATGGATATTACTGACCAGTTATTGTTAATTCCTGTTATTTTTTGGTGTTAGTGTTTTATATTTTCCTTCTTTGGTATTTGTTGGTGTGGGACTATCTATTGCCTGTGTTTTCATGGGTGTATCTATCTTCTTTAGGTTGGATTTTTCCTTTGAGTGCTTTCTGTAGAACTGTATTTGTGGAGAGATATTTTTAAATCTGTTTTTATCATGGAATATTTTGTTTACTCCATCTATGTTGATTGAGAGTTTTGCTGGGTATAATAGTCTGGGTTGGCAGCCATGATCTCTTAGTATCTGCATAACATTTGTCCAGGACCTTCTGGCTTTTAGAGTCTCCATTGAGAAGTCAGGTGTTATTCTTATGGGTCTTCCTTTATATGTTACTTAGCCTTTTTCCTTTGCAGCTCTTAATATTTTTCTTTATTCTGTATGTTTAGTGATTTGATTATAATGTGGTGAGGGGACTTTCTTTTTGGATCCAGTCTATTTGGTGTTCTGTAACCTTCTTGTATCTTTATAGGCATTTCCTTCTTTAGGTTGGGAAAGTTTCCTTCTATGATTTTGTTGAATATATTTTCTGTGCCTTTGAGTTGGTATTCCTCTCCTTCTACTCCTATTATTCTTAGGTTTGGTCTTTTCATGGTGTCCCAAATTTCCTGGAAATTTTGGGTCATGACTTTGTTGGTTTTAGTGTTTTCTTTAACTGTTGTATCTATTTATTCTAATGTATCTTTTTCGCCCGAGATCCGCTCTTCCATCTCTTGCATTCTGTTGGTTATACTTGCACCTGTAGCTCTTGTTCTTTTACCAAGGTTTTTCTACTTCCAGCATTACCTCAGTTTGTGTCTTCTTTATTAACTCCATTTCAGTTTTGAAATCTTGAACTGTTTCCCTCACTTGTTTAATTGCTTTCTCTTGGCTTTCAAGGGATTTACTGATTTCTTCCCATTTTTTGTTTGACTTTTCCTCAATTTCTTTAAGGGAATTTTTCATTTCCTCCTTTAAGATCTCTAATATCTTCTTAAAGTCATTTTATGATAGATATCTTCTGTTTCTTCTGTGTTGGTATGTTCAGGTCTTGCTGATGTAGGTTCTGGTGGAGCCATATTGGTTTTTATGTTGTTGACTGTATTTTTGCACTGACATTTACCCATCTCTTTCTCCACTTGGTGCAAGTGGTGTCTATGTCTGAGGGAACCTCCCTTGGTCTGATTGATACTCTTGATCCAGTGGGAGCTCTTGGTCTAGTTGATGCTGATGGAATTTTTGTCTCAGGGATCAGCTCTTAGTCCAACTGGTGCTAGCAGGCTCTGTCTCACGGAGTAGCTGTAGTCTTACTGTGTGGTAGATGGTGGTAGTCTGACCTGTCTCTTAGTCCAGTCAGGTGCTGGCAGGTTCTGTCTCAGGGAACAGTTGCAGTCTCGGAGGGTGGGTCAGATTAAGTCATTTTGAATACAAGTACTCTTAAACAAAAACTACAGAAAGTTTGGCAATGAAATCAAGAAAACTAATCATACACCTTCTCACATGCAGAATATATGTACAGATCCAGAACTAAAAATACTTGATAGAGAATCTGTACCTCCAGGACTTCCTCCTGAGGACAGGAGTGAGGGTATGTTGATGGGACAAAAGTATACACAGGATGACAGCCCCATCAAAAAAGAAAGATTGTAGGCTTCCTGGAAAAACCAAAGTTAATGTCCTTGTAGAAGAGCCACTACCTAGTGCCTCCGAAGGACAAACACACTACACAGCAATCCCCATTGATTTGAAGAGTACTATGTAATACTAATTTTATGTAAATAAACACAAATATTTAGAAAGCAGTTTGAGAACATGTCCATTTATCAAGACAACATTATTAACTGGCTCCCTACAGCCTATGACTTCACCAAGCCATGGATTATAGTACCAGAAATGAAATCCCACCTACGGAACAGGACTCAGATGCAATCCAAAACTGGCTGCTTATGTATGCCCTTAACCTTTGGGGCACTTTTATACCAATGTGTATTTTTGGTGTCTTGGTTGAATAGCATGTGGCTTTAGTTGCATGCCTTATATCCAGGTTCTCTATTCTGTTCTCTGAGTTTGCTTCTGTGACAGTATCATGCTGTTTTTATTACTATGGCTCTGCAGCATAACTTGAAATCATATATGGTGATACCCCCAGACTGGTCTTTTTACTTGCAATGATTTTGGCTATATAGGTTCTTGTGTGCTTCTGTTTGAATATTAAAATTCTCTCCTCCATTTCTGTGAAGAATTACATTGGAATTTCAACTGGAATTGCATTGACTCTCTAGACTGCTTCTGGTTTAAAAAAAAAGCCATTTCTCAAAATATTGAATTTTTCCAATCCATAATCATGAGAGATATTTGCAACTTCTAGTATCATCTTCAAATTTTTTCTTTGGTGTCTTAACATTTTCATTAACAAGGCCTCTTTGACATCCTTGGTTAGGTTTATTCCTAGGTATGTTTTTGAAGCTATTTTGAATGGAAATGTTCCCATGATATCTTTTCAGCATGCTTGTTAGTGCTATATGAAAATGCTACTCCTTTTCTAAGATTATTATTTATTGTATTTGTATTATTTTATTACATTTCTGAAGTTTTTTTTGTGCATATTTTCCTGGATTTTAGTATTTGAATACTACTGGCTTCACAAAAGGAGTTTGGAAAAGTTTCTTCTGTTTCTGGTTTTTGTTTTTTTAATAATTTAAGGATTGATCATAAATCTTTGAAAGTGTGGTGGGATTCTGATGTGAATCCATCTGGGCCTGGACTTTTTTTTTTAATCAGAAGGATTTGTATTACTTCTTTTAATATTCTCATTTGTTATGGGTCTGTTTAGGTTGTTGATCTCATTTTGGATTAATATTTTTGGTGGTTTGGATGAACCTGAAAATTGGTGCATTTCTTTTAGGATTTCCATTTTTATAGAGGACAGGTTTTTAAAATAATTTTGACAACCTCATTTCTTAGTATTTTTATGTGTATGGGTCTTTTGCCTGTATGTCTGTGCACTATGTCCTTACAGTACCCATGGAGGCCAGAAGAGGGCACTAAAGCCCCTGGGACTGGAGTCATGGACTGCTGTGAGCCACCATGCAGGTGCTGGGAGTTGAACTCCAGAACTTCTGGAATAGCAACAGGTGCTCTTAACTTCTGCACCACCCCTCTATTCTCAGAACAAAGGCTGTGAAAGTATTCCTTTATTATGTTCTGAATTTCTTGGTGTCTGTTGTAATGACTCCCTGTTCACCTCTTTCCTTCTTTCAGTTTGTTGGGCAAAGGTCTGTTGATTTCTCTTCTTAAAGAACCAGCTCTTAGATTCATTGCTTCTTTCTATGGTTTTATTTGCTTCTATTCCATTAATCTATGGCCAGATAGACTCTCTTCTTTGGTTGTGTGTCTGACGTCAGATTTTTAGTCTGCCTTAGATAAGGCCAATGCCAGAGCTGTGTGGCCAGAGTTAGGCCAGACAAAGCTGGTGCATGAACTGCTTGACTGGACCTTCATCAGGCAAAGCTAATGTGAGCCATGGTCTGGAGCTATGCCTATGAGTGTGGATATGGTAGAGGTGGGAGTTGGGAGTAAGGGAAGTACTCACCAGCTAAAGTCAGAGTCTGAGGGTCCAGAGTAGGTCTTTGGGTGCTGAGATGGCAGTTGTGGGTGTGCCTATGGCAGAGGAAGAGGTAGATTAACCAAATAAAGTCAGAGACTGAGGTCCAGAGTAGGTCTTTGGGTGCTGAGATGGCAGCTGTGTGGGTGGATGTGACTATTTTCACTTCTTAATGATAGGCCAGTAATTGTGAGTAGCTAAGCATTTATAAGGACATACAATTATTAAATGATTAGTAGTGTCTATTTTTTTCTGTGTCAATATCTGATGACTACTAAGAGAAAAAGTGTTGTTTGAAGTCATACATCTCAAAACAAAAAATATGAGCAAATGTATATTCCATCTTTCCTATATGCAGAAAGTAACTCAAGACCAAGAAAAAACTAAATGTGACAGTGAATATAAAAGTGTCCGTCTTCAGCCTCCCTCTGAGGACTCAAATGAAGAAAAATGGGTGCGGCTAGTTGCAACACAGTATTCATTTCTTAACCAGTACCTCAGGGAAAGATTAAAGGAGAAGATGAAAGAAGGTATTGAAAACTCTGAATCTGATACATCTGATGAAGAACAACTACCTAGTATCTCTGGAGGAAGAACACACTCAATGGTAAGTAGTTCCCACTAATTTTAAACGTGCTTGTTTCATGATGAGGGGGAAGGTGTTGTGGAGGGTCTCTCTGTGGTACTGCAGACAAAAGAACCCAGCCTTGGACATGCCCTTGCATCTTCTTGTTCTCTTAGTCACAGGAATACTTTTTTTAGTCATCTTCCCAGCCTTACATGCAAATAACTAAAGCTATGAAAACAACAAATCTTAAACCTGCCGTGGTTTAAACACAAAGAAGAATTCTAGCACTAATACAAAAACAAACGACAATAACCACATAATAGTAGTGAAGGAACTAGGGTCATTACAGTTGAAATGATATTTGATGTATGTAAATCAAAGCATAAGTAATTGGAAATTTGATATTAGACATATACCTAAATATAGTAAACCCAAAGTGTAGTCATTTATGCACTTCAAAGATATAATTTTATTGAATTGAAATAAAAAGACATCATATTTCTGTAGTTAAAGTTATATGTATGAGAACAGTTGAATTCTCATTTTTTTTCTCTATCTACTTTAAAAGTTTCAGAAATTTGTTTAGGTTTCCTTTTCTTTTTTTAGTTCATTGAGAATTTCGTATGATGCATTTTGATCACACTCATCCCACAGCTCCTCACAGATTACATCCCCCTTCCCTTTGTCCTCAGGTTTTTCTCTAAGTTCCATTGAGTCGGATTTGTGTTGCTACCTACTGGAGCATGGTCCACCAACAGGGGCTACACAGACCTTAAAGAAAACCCCCTCTCCTTCCCCTAGCAGCAATTATCGCCAATACCTCCTCAGAATGGGTGGGACTTCAGGTTCACCTCCCTTCTTCACGGCTTGCACATGCTACTGCAACTGCTGTGGCATTCATACATGCAACTATCCTGTTTTGTCCAGAAAATACCACTTCCCTGTAGTTATCCACCACTTCTGGCTCTTACTGTCTTTTCCCCCCCTCTTCTACAATGATGCCTGAGCCTTAGGAGAGGGTATAAGATAGGTTTTCATTTAGGGCTGAGAATTTTGCAGAGACCTGTTGTGGGTCTCTGTTAATCATCATCTACTGCAAAAAGAAGCTTCTCTGATGAGGGTTAGTAGAGGCACTAATCTATGGGCTTAATGAAAGAGATTGGTAAGTCATTAGGAGTCAGTTTAATGCTGTCCTCTATGGGTATTCCAAATGAAACATGCACATCCATATATCCAAAGCTTATAATCTACAAATAAGAGAAAACTTGCAATACTGTCTTCCTGGGTCTAGGCTACCTCACTTGGAATGACAGTTTCCAGCTTCATCCTTTTGTGTGTGGCTTTTATGACTGAATTTTCTTATCAACTGAATAAAATTCTATTATGTAAACACACCACATTTTATTCTTTACTGATAAGTTAATGAACATCTAGGTGGTTTCCATTTTTCTGGAAATTTGGAATAAGACAGCAATGAACATGGATGAGCAAGTATCACTGCAGAAGGATATAGAAGAGTTCTTGGATAGATGCTCAAGTACTAATATAGAAGGACTATGTGATCAATTTATTGGTAGGTTTACAAGGAACATCTACGCTGATTTCCACAGTTGGCTACACAGTTTGCACTCCCATCAGCTGTGAAAACCTGTTTCTCTTTCCCCACATCCATGCCAACATTTGTTGTCCTTTTAAGAACCTTAGCCACTCTGACTCGGGGGAGATGAAATGTCCAAGTAGTTTTAATTTGTATTTTTCTGATGGCTAAGAACATTGAACATTTAAAAAATTTTATCAGCCATTTAGTTTCCATCTTTTGGAAACTATTTGTTTAGTCCCATGCCTCATTTTTTAAAATTGGGTTGCTTTCCTTCCCTGATGTTTATGTATTTACTTGTTAGTTAGTTAGTTAGTTAGTTAGTTAGTTAGTTAGTTCTTTTCATATTCTAGACAGAAGTTAGACAGATAGCTGGTAAATATTTTTTCACATTCTGTAGGCTGCCTTTTTTCTCCAATTATGTTGTCCTTTTCTATGCAGAAACTTTTCAGTTTCATGTGTTCCCATTTCTCAATTGTTTGTTTTAATGCTTGTACTATCAGGATCTGTTCAGAAAATCCATTCTAGTGCCTATAAATTCAAGTATATTCCCTACTCTTTTTTTCTACCAAATTCAGGGTACCAGTTCTTATATTAAGGTCCTTGATATATATGGATTTGAGTTTTGTTCAAGGTAAGTAATAAGAATCAAGTTTTATTCTTCTACATGTAGCTTCCTGGTTTGACCAGCACCATTTGTTGAAGATACTGTCTTTACAACAAGGTGTGTTGTTGGCCTCTTAGTCAAAAATCAGGTAGCTGTACAAGTGTAGGCTGTATGCCTACACTACACTACACTACAGTACACTACACTACACTACACTACACTACACTACACTACACTACACTACAGTACACTACACTACACTACACTACACACACACACATACACACACACACATTTTTAGTTATGTTCAGTGTATCTTGCAAATATATCTTCTGGAGAACTTATGCATTTTGCAATTAAAGCTATCATTCTCCCATGTAGCAATTCAGTTATGCCTTACAAGTACTCTGGGTGCCTCAGACTTTGTGGAACAACCTGAAGACATTGCCCTTTACTGTTTCCTGATACTTGTCTGGCTAATATTCTGCTCTGTTATCATTTTTCTCCTGTATAGTAAGTAGTGCCTGGTAAATAGCACTGAAACACCAAATGTAGAAGTCGTAGGCTCTTACCTAATGCAAATTATTTCAGCTCTTAACGATAGCCTAGTGATTTTTGGGTAGCTACGCATAGCTATGGATAAATTTAACTGTTAATTACCAATTATTTTCTGCTTTCACTGTCTCCATAATCTTTGTCTTGTAAAGTTACAGTCATTTTAAAACACAAGCACCCCAAATAAAGAACACTGAGACTGAAACAAATCAAATTAATCTTCCATCTTCTCCTCAGCAGAAAATGTCCTCAAAACAAGAATACACATCCACACAATCAGAACATTTCTCTGCAAAAAGGAGTGAGGAGGAGATATGGGCCCAGATGAGTGCACACCAATATGCATGTCTTAACGAACTTCTCAGGAAAGATTTCAAGAAGAAAATGCGTAAAATGTATGAAAAGTCTGAAAGTAACATCTGTTCTAACAGAGTGCCAATTCCCTGTAAGCCCAAAGAGAAAGCATACTTAAAGGTAATTCTGTTCCCTCTGATCTGAAAATTGCATATATTTGAGCATGTAGGAAAAGATGCATCTGGATTGCCCATCTCTGAAGTAGGGTAGATATTTTCCAAACAACAGCAAAACCTAAATCATGAAAATAACTTGCATTTCCCCCATGCTCCCAGTCCCAGGAATACACTGGCCAGTCATCATCTAAGGTTTAAGCAAAAATAAACTAGACTCTAAGATAACAAACTAAGAAGCAAACATGTTTTTAACACCATAAGGAAAATTCATACAATTATGGTGAAAGTAAATAATAGTAAAAATAAAGGCCCAGGAGTCGTTACAGTTGACATGAAAGGACCAGCATGGCGGCTCTGCAAGTGGTACCAGAATGAAGCGTATATAAGGAACTGGGGGTTATCCAGTGGACACATGGCAAAGTCTAGTGAATCAAAGGTGTCCAGGTTTCCAGGATCATGTGACTGAAATGAAAATAGCACCATAGTTTCCCCACTGTTGACTTATCTACTTGAATAGTTGCAGCTAGAGTTTTTCTCTCTGGGTCCCGCCAATCCCTGGTGGTCCCATAGCCCACTTATAAAATAAACACGCAGATGCTTATATTATTTAAACTGCTCGACCATTAGCTCAGGCCTACCATTGTCTAGTTCTTACTCTTATACTCAGCCCATTTTTGTTCATCTATATGTTGCCATGTGTTCCGTGGCTTTACCTGCTGCCTTTACATGCTGATACCTGGATGGCAGGCTGGCGTCTCTCCCAGACTTCCACTTCCCAGCCTCTCCTCTCTGTTTGTCCCGCCTATCCTATACTTCCTTCCTGGCTACTGGCCAATCAGCATTTTATTTATTCACAACATACATGACATCCCACAGCAAATAGTTGACTACTCAAGCTTGTTTCTCCCTTGCTTTTACATTAAATAATCCAGAATTTGTATAAGTTTTTATCTTGAAGGTATAAGTTTATTGTATTTTACAAATATTTACTTTTTAAATCCACATGCACCTTTCACTATGTGTGCATTGATACTCAGTTGTGCTTTCTAAGTTTTCTGGGTGATTCAGATTTTGAGTAACAAGCTGAAGACATTGGCTTTTTACCATTTCCTGATTCTTGCCTTCCCATCATTCTGCTCTATTAATTGTTTTCTCTATCAAGTAAATAGCATCATGACATTGAAGAGGAGCTTCAGTTGGGAAAGTCTCTCCAACAGATTGCATGTAGGCAAGTGTGTGGGGCATTTTCTTGCTTAATGATTGATGTGCAAGGACCCAGTTTAGGATGGACAGTGATACCCTTGGGCAGACAGTCTTGGGTCACATCTGAAAACATGCTGAGAAAGCCATGAGGAGCAAACCAGTAAGCAGCTAAGGGGTCCATGGCTTCTTCTTAAGTTCCTACTTTGAGTTTCTGTCTTGACTTCCTTCAATAGATTGTGACCCAGGGTATAGAAGCCAAATAATTCCTTTCTTTGCATGTTGCTTTTGGTCAGGCTTTTTAATGACAGCAGCAGAAAGAGACATCCATTGGGCCATCACCTCAGCCTCATCTGACAGCTGTTTTGAGAAAACTGGATATTAAAAGAAGAAAATATTTCACATGCATATATTTGCTTTGCACACACTATTTCAAAATCAAATCACCAAAAGAGATATGTGGCCCAGAGAAGATACATGTAGTTACTTACACAAACTAAATTAGACATCACAATTCCAGAGGTTTCTTCAACAATCTGGATTTTCAATTATCTATAAGGAATTGAATCAGTATGCTTTGAGCCATGTCATTGATGAATGTCTATGCAGAAGGTTTCCCTTTTATATGAGCCACACAAATGCATTGGTTTGCTAAAAATCTAATTTGTGCTTTTTTCTTCAATTAATATTTTCTGAAATATTAATTTCACACTGGTATTAGATAATTCATTGAGGGAGGTGCTTCCCTGGAGAAGACCATCTCTCCACTCCTTAGCATTGCCCACAACTATAGTTCTTTATATAGAGGTGTGGCCCTGTGAGCTTTTGCCCTTCTATGTTAGCTGTCTATTGATATCATTTTTGTTCAGGTCATGTTTAGGCAGCCATGTTGATAAGACTTGATGGGTGTAGTTACTTTGACTTTTCTAGGAGGCACAATCTCACAGCAAATGTCATCTACTCCCTCTATAAGTAACTAAACTTAACACTCTGTCATCCACTGTGATAAAATTTTTAGTATTTTCCAGATGGTTTACATTAATTCATATTAAGGAAGTTTAAATTACACGTTAATTCTTGAATATGGGATTGTATACTAGGTATTAGACACTGGTAGTTGTAAGAACTTTTGTTTACAGGGTGTGGATGTTGCTCATGTTGGAATCCTTTCCTAGCATCGAACAATGGGTTTGAATCCAACCCTAAAAAATTCCTGTACTTCATTTATACTATAATCATATTTCCATGAAACATATACAGTGATTGTAGTTTGGTACATTATTGTCAAACACATTATATTCCTCTCATGCCTGAAATGTGCACATAACCTGGTCAATTTATCATTCTATATGCAATCCATATCAATAATATCTGAATTTTCCTTCATAAAGCATTGTATCTTTATTTCTAATATTTTGCCTAACATTTTTCTAGAAATACTTTACAAGGCATAAAATTATAAACCTAATTTTTAAAAGGACTGAAGAGATAGCTCAGAATTTAAAGCCCTTACTATTCCTTCAAGAAGACCTGAATTTAGTTCCCAGCACCTACATAGTAACATACAACCACCTGTAATTCCAGTTCCACAGAATCTGATACCTGATTCAGGCCTCCAAGAGCTTCAGCACACACATGGAGACAGTCAGGTACACGTGTACATAAACAAATTAAAATAAATATAAACTCTTAAAATCTAGTAATTTACTGTGAAACCTTATCTTAAACTGTCTTTACAATTGAGGTAAATTTTATTCTGAAAAATTTGCGCTCTCTCACTCATATAATGTCCGCTAATGATATATGTATGATAAGCTTAAGCCTCCTGACTAAGTGATTGACATTATGAACAATGCATCCATAATAACCAGCATGTTAGGATAACTTAAAAAGAATTTATTCTCTAGAACTGAAATTTGTAGTCTCATTACCATTCACACTTACGTCAAGTTTATAGAATCAGTTCTACCCCAGTTTCTAATTGTCTTTACTGCCTGTACTGAGAGATAAAATCAACACTTAACCAGGTATCCCTGAAGAAAGAACAGATAAAGGACACACACACACACACACACACACACACACACACACACACACACACACCCTTACATACATATACATATGCATAAATAAAAACAGTTAAAATGGAGTTATTTATAACAGGACAACAATGACCCTACTAGACATCGAAGATTAACAATACAAAGCCCATTGTTCAGGAATTGTTTTGCAATGTTAAAAATCATGCAAGTCCCTATTTTTGGCAAATTTAACATATAATAAGGTATATTTATTTCAGTTAACACTGAGCAAGTTTGTTGGTTCATGGTTTTTTCTGCTGATGATAGCCTAGTGATTTGAGCAGCCAAACTTATGAAGAAACTGAACTGTTAAAATGTGCTTCCTGCTTTCCCCATCTGCTCCCTACAATCTGTAAGGACAAAGCCATTTTGAAAACAAGCATCCCCAAACAACAACAACAAACGTGAGACTAAAGTCAAGCAAACTAATATCCTTCTTCTCATCAACAGAAAATGACTGAAGGAAAGAAGAAACGTGATGGAAAAGATGCACATGTTCATTCAAGACTTCCTTTGGTCAGGAGGAAAGAGGACGTGAAGGAGCAAGCTGATTGGCACCACACACAACTGAATGAACTCCTCAGAAATGATATAAAGGAATTAATGAAGGAGCAATTGGCTACAGGGCATGCAAGGATGAGGAAACTCCTCAGAAAGGATCTAGAGGAAATTAGGGGACTACTCAAGAAGGAATTAAGACAAATATTTATGGAGAAGATGGCCCTGCTGCAAGAGCAGATCAAGGAGACACAGCAGGAGCACTGGAATCTGCAGTACCTGCAGCTGAAGGAACTCTTTAGAAGGGACTTAAAAGAGATGGTTCGGCAACAGGTTAAAAGTTCCAAAATTATCATTTGTCCTAAAGAAGAGCCACTACCTGGTGCTTCTAAGGGAACTGCAGACTTCCAGGTAGGTCTCTCTCACTGGAAAGGACTGTGTTTGAATGACGGGCTGTGAAAGATGCACCTGTTTGCCTGAGTGAGCAGTACTGCAGATAGTTCCCTGTCAGGTGCCCAACCTTGATCATATCCTGGCCCCTCATGTTCTTGGTCCCAAGAATCCAGTGGCTAGTAATCTTCTGATGTTCATGTGACTCAACTATGAAAATAGATCAGGAAGTGAACATGCTGTTAACACAAATGAGCACAATTCTTGTAATAGTACATAAAATAGAGAATAACCACAAACCAGAGAGTAGTTATGGTTGACAGGAAAATAACAGATACGCATGCGGTAAGTGTATAAACAAAAGTAGAGTTAGAAATTACATAGTAAATGCATGCTGAAGTCAAGAAAAGACACTGGTTTACATATTTCAAAGAAATAAATCACATGACTGAAATAAAACCACACTGTATGTTAACAGGAATAGATAGACTATAGAGCTGCATTAGAAAGTTCTAATGCAGCTGCAGAGTTTTCTCTCCCAGTCCTGCCAAGCCCCAGCAGTACGACAGGCCACTTATAAAATAAACACACAGACACTTATATTATTTAAACTGTTTGGCCTAATGCCTCAGGCTTCTAGCTATCTAGTTCTTACATCTTAAATTAATTCATTTCTATAAATCTATACCTTGCCACGTGGCTCATGGCTTACCAGCATCTTCACATGTTGCTTGTCATGGTGGCTAATGGCAGTGTCTCCCTCTGCCTTCCTGTTCTCTCAATTCTCCTCTCTGTTACTACCGCCTATACTTCCTGCCAATCAGTGTTTTATTTATTGACCAATCAGAGCAACACATTAGACATACAGACCATCCCACAGCATTCTAAGCTATTTTTCTCTCTTGTTTCAGACTTTTGTGCATATTTGCATATATAATTATAGGTTTATTATCCTTTACAAATGTTTATCTTCTTTCTTTAAATTTGGTTTTTCCAGACAGGGTTTCTCTGTGTCACTTTGAACCTTTCCTGGAACTCACTCTGTAGCCTAGGCTGGCCTCAAACTCACAGAGATCCACCTGCCTCTGCCTCCTAAGTGCTGGGATTAAAGGTGTGTGCCACCACCACCCAGAAGTTTATCTTCTTAAGTCGTTTGCTTTTCCCAAGTTAGGCTGCCTCCTCTTCTAATGAATTGATAGAGCTGTGTGTATTAACCCCTGGGTGTCTTAATTTCAGGCAACATCACTTCTTACCATTCTCTGAAACTTTCCTGCTGTCATTCTGCTCTGTCCTTTGTTGTTTTCTCCAATCCAGTCAATAGCACAGAAACATCAAAGTTGGGAAGTTCTGGGATCCAGTCATCCCTCAGAGTACCAACTGGTAACTAAGGTCTGTGATTTTAACCTTTCTCTGCTGACAGACAGAACAGGTTCCTGAATCAACCCCAATGCTTAGAAAGAGAACCTCGCCTTCCAGAATGGAACCTTTGAAATTAGAATTTCACTCTATTGCTTATTTCACTGTAACAAGAGGACAGCAGGCTGCATTAGAATGAGGTGTAGCCTGGATAGTCCATGTACATGCACGGCATGGTCACAGCATGTAGTTTGAAATGAATCCCGTTGGCTGTGCCTGCTGCTTGCTGCCCTTTAGACAGAGAGTTCTACTTGTTTGTCTCTCCTCCCTGGCCTTTTAAAAATGCTTTGTACCAATACTGAACTATTTTTGCAGAACACATTTGATCTTTCTTACAGTTTCTATTTCTATTGTTAGTTAATTTAGCTATGTCTCCCTGTGTAACAGGTGTATATGGCTTTATTAATTAATTGTTGTCCCCAAAGCTTTATTATCAACTGCTTCTCCTCTTTCTGAGAAGCAGCCAAATCCATATAATCATGTGTCTCTAGCTATTTGATACACCAAATAGCTCTTCTACTGTCTGTGAGCTGAAGTCAATTAATACATACATGATTTTTTATGTATGATCTTCCCCCTTGAGAGGTTATTTATGAGAAAAAAATCCTTAGCCGGGAATTGGTGGTGCATGCCTTTAATCCCAGCACTCGGGAGGCAGAGCCAGGTGGATCTCTGTGAGTTCAAGCCCAGTCTGGGCTACAGAGTGAGTTCCAGGAGAGGCACAAAGCTACACAGAGAAACTCTGTCTCAAAAAAATATATAAAAACTAGATAGCAAGAAGCCTGAGCCATTAGGCCCAATTGTTTAAATAATATAAGTGTCTGTGTGTTTATTTGGGTCTGAGTGTCTGCAGGTCAAAAACAAAAAACAAAAAAGAGAGAAAGAAAAAAATCCTGTAAACATGTTAAAATTTAAAAAATATTTAAGCTAGTTATTTACATGAAGTAAAATCCTATATGATACTTTAAAAATCATTTTCTTCCATTTATATGTGTAGTTAAGATAGTCATCAGTTTGAAATATAATAATCATTAATTTGAGGAAGAGAATCATTGTTTAATAAACATTCCTAGGGAGCAATATTACAAGTTCTCTGAGGAAACACGTAGGTGAGGTCAAATATTTAGGTGTGAGAATTGTTTTTAAATGTTAAATCTCATCTAAATAAAAAAATTCAAAAAAAAATCTCATGTAATTCATGGTTTTGAATATGTGACACACCATTAGTTTATTCCAAACAACGACACAAAAATCACGGGTTCATGATTTTTAGTTAATTCTAGGAAAACATAATTTGTTTTCAGTTCTTAATGAGAGCCTAGTGATTTGAGACAGACTAAACATATATGAAGAAGTTTAACTGTTAAGTGTTAAGCATTTTTTTTACTTTATTAGGGTCTGTAACTTATGACTTGTGAAGATAAAGTAATTTTGAAAACAAGCACCTAAAAATAAAAAAAAATTTCAAAACTTCTAGGAAACCAAGCAAATGAACCTTCCATCTCTCCTCCTGCAGAGAACATCTCTGGAACAAATAAAAAAGAAAAAACATGAAGGTGACCATGACAGTGCCCCTTCACATTCAGAAAAGCCCTTGGTGCAAACTGAAGAGGAAGCCACTGATGGGCAGAGTGATTCCTGCTGTATGCCTCTAAATGAACTCATCAAAGAAGATTTAAAAGAAGCACTTTTTGAAATACTTGAAAAATATAAATGTGATACATGTATGAAGAAAGAACTACCTCATATCCTTAAAGGAAGAAAACAACTAATGGTAATTACTTCTAATTTTAAAAGCAATGTACTTAGTTGGAGGGGGAGAGGCATCTGTGTGCCCTTGTCTGTGGGCTATAGAGAGCATCTCAACAAGAGGACCTCAGCCTTGCACATGCCCTACACTTCTCCAGTCCCAGGACACTTCCCACCCATCTTGAGCTTATGTGAAAAATTTAGATTACAACAAATATAACAAATATGACTTTAAAATATGACTACTTATATAATAATAATATAGAAAAATGATAAAGACCTCACAGGGTTTTCAGTTGAATGAAAAGAACTAATATGCTTTCTCTGCAAATAACATCATAAGCCAAATGTAATGACCTGGAAATTCAATCTTAGACATGTGCCTAAGTCTAGTACATCAAAGGGCTATGGTCTCAATAATTCAAAGATAGGAATCATGGGACTTTAAAAACAGCATGTGATTCTAATGGAAAGCCCTATATCACTGGACAACTGGATCCCCTGGATTTTCTACCTTTGATACTCTTATTTAAGTATTTCAGAATTATGTATAAGCTTGCATTTTTAAGTCTAAATTATATTTATGGATGTTTATCTTCTTGAATACATAAGCTTTTTCACAGGTCATGTCCTCCTTGGCTGCCCATGCAGTTCTGTCTCCCAAGGCCTCTGTGTGCCTAAATTTCATATTACAAACTGAAAATATCCTTCTCCATTCCCTGGGTCTTGGCTGACTACTCCTCTGTCTGCTGTTGTCTCCATTCTAGTAAATAGCACCTGTGAATCATATCGAAACACTGAAGTAGAGGAGACCTGGACTCCAGCCCTCCTTCAAAGTCCCAACCAGTCACCAAGTTCTGTCTTTCACATGTGTCTCTTTCTGCAGAGAACAGATTCATTTAATGATGTTAGGATCCATGTAATAGCATTTTATTTATTTTAATGTACTGAGCAAAGCTGGTAAAGATCATCGAACACCTTGTTCATTATATCATATGGACCATGTTAAAGCATGACTCAGTGCAGACAGTCTGCATGTATGCAGGGTACTCTCACAGGGTATAATCTGAAGTACAATTTAAACTTTGTTGTGCCTGCCAGCTAATGTCCCTTCAACATTATTATATTTGTTTCTCTTCCCTATGATTTGTTTATGATTTGTTAATGTACAATATACATTATACCATATAACTATAAACTACACACTATACAATGTAAAGTAAAATTTAGCAGTTTGTCTTTCTTTTTGATGGTGTTCAGTGATTTGTGTTCTTGGTAACTTAGGCTTGCCTACTAGCTATTTACTGAAAAACAGAAAAAGGCCTCAAATGTACTGTTGGGGCTTAACCTTTCTAGGTAGTGTACAGTAATATCTCTTACAAAAGTCATCTGTTGTGATGTTAAAAGTCATGTAATCATTTGTGTGAAGATTTAACAAGTAAAGTGTGGTTATTGTAATCAACACTGTAACCAATACTAAGTTAACTATGTTGGGTCATGTTTTTCTCCTACTTTAGATAAGAATAAATTGGTTTCACTTCTTATCAATAGCTAGTGATAGTGTAAATAGAAGAGGATTTATGAAAATATTTAACTAATAAATATTAATTAGTTGCTCCGTTTTCTTTGTCCCTACACTGTAATATATAAGGACAGAGTCATTTCAAAAATATTCTACCTTCTCATCTTCAGGAAATATCTACAGAACAAGAACTAAGGAAGAAATATGACAGTAAGTCCTTATATTCAGAATACCCTGCTACCAAGACAGTGAAGGAAATGGAGCATGAGTACAGTGAATTGCAGTACCTGCATCTTAAGGAACTCATTAAAAAAGATTTAAAGGTGAAAATTTGTGATGTGCTTGGAAAATACGAAAATGTTTGCCCCGAGGAAGAAGGACTGCCTCATGTCTCTAAGGAGAAAACAAGATTAAAGGTAATTCTAATTTGAAAAGCAGTATATTTCATTTGAGAGCAAAGATGCATCTGCAAGCCCATGTCCACAGTGCTGCAGTGTCCAGAGAGCAGAACCCCAGCTTTGTACAGGTCCCCCAACTCCTTCACGCCCTCAGCCCCAGCTGCATTATTCTACCTGATCTTTAAAGGTTTACGTGAAAACAAATTAGACTGTGACTATAACAACAGATATTAACAAGCTTTTATACAAAATGAGAATCCTCATAAAATAAACAACAATAATAATAATAATAATGGGGGTGATGGTAAAGGACTTCTAGAGTAGTTACACTTGAGATGAAAGGAACTAACATGCTTGATATGCAAATGAGTATATTATAAATCAAAACATAATTAACTAGGAATGCAATATTAGACATGTGCCTAACTGTAGTAAACTAAAAGGACAGAGGTTCCCATGATTCAAAGAAAAGAATCATGTCACGATAAAACAGCATGTGGTTCTACATCACTGGATAACTGGATCCCCTGGCTCTTCTTCGTCTGGTGTTTGAAATTAAATATTTTAGAATTCTGTGTAGATTTTCATTTTTTTACATATTAAACAGCATTAAAGTTTTATTTCAGTCTATGATTTGTTTAAACTGATCACATTAATCCATTTCATCCCCCCAAAAAACAAAATGCTTCTAGTAGTGTAACACTTGACATCACCCATCCAGACAGCATCCACTACAGCCTGCAGAAATCTTGAATGTAGTTTGATCTCAAATTGGGTTTTATCCTCTAGACCAAAAGCTTTCAAAGTTGCCTCTTAGAAATCCATCACCAGTCAGTCAGCAGGGTAGACCACTGAGCTAACTCCTGATATCTGAGTTCCCACCGGAAATAATTTATCCTAAGTGAATTCATAGGCCTCTGGGGTGAGGAAGCTTCATGGGAGCCTCCCTCACACAGAATGTCACCTAGAACAGCCTTTTTTATCTATAGATGTCTATCTTCTTTCACTGTGGTAAGTCAAGCCTGAGAGCAAAGGGCACAAAGCCAAGCTCACTGCAGGTCTCAGAGTAGATTAACACAGGAGATCCAATGAGACATCAGCTAGATAAAACTAAAAAGGATGACACAACCAGGTTAGTCTGTATGTCTAGTTGCTTGCTTTTTCACATGGTAGTTGCAGTATTCATTCACATGAAGTGTGCTGCAGTCTTATTAATAAAAAAAACCTGGAGCTAGATATTGGGGTAAAAACTGAGAGATCAGGGAAGCAGAAAGAAGCCAGCCATGTTCTTACCACCAGAAATCCTCAGCCAAAAAGAGAGAGAGACCTATTTCCTGTACTCATGCCTATATGCCTTCCTGTCCCTGCCCTCTTACTTCCTCTCTCCACTCAGCTACATCACTTCCTCTCTGTCTGTACAGACCTCCAGATCTCCATGGTTAGTACTGCAATTAAAGGCATGTGCCACCACACCTGGCTCTGTTCCCAGTGTGGCCTTGAACTCACAGAGATCCGGATAGCTATCTGCCTCCCAAATGCTAGGATTAAAGGTGTATGCTACCATTGCATGACCTCTGTGTTTACTATAGTGGCTGGCTTTTCCCTCTGATCTTCAAATAAGTTTTATTGGGATGCACAAATAAAGTATCACCACATTTCCCCTTTTTTTGTCTAAAATAAAAGTTATAACTAATATCAGAAAAACTATATACAATAAGTACAATAACTATATACAATATATACAAGCAATAAATACATCAACAATGTCTACTCCATTTGCATTTGGCAAATTCAGCAAAAATATTCCATTATCTATCCTATTTTGGTGAGTCCAAAATGTACTTAATTCTCTTTTTATCCTAACTTGTATTACCAACCAAAAACTATCTTTTGTTGTCTTTCAAACTTATACACTTTACACCTGTTTAGTGAGCTTCTTTTCTGAAATTGTTACCAAGGAAAACTATAACTATCTAATCTTACTCACTCAGAGACCCAAGAAGGAAATAATAACCTAGTAAAACAAGAATTGCAAACAAGCAACTTCCCAAAAAAATGTGAGAAATGACAGAAACAGCAAGCTGCCTGGACAGCCACTGGAGGTTTCTCTGCAACGTTGGGGCATCCATTCTTCAACCTACAGGCTTAGCATATCTGACACATTCATCTGTGAAGCAGGATTTTCTAAAGAGCCTCCCTACCTTGTCTTGGCAAGGTTTGGCAGTCCTTTCTTTTGTGTCCATTTTGGACAGCATATTATCAGTAGTCAGTTTGAGAGCACTTTCTTGTCCAGTGGCTAACTTTTGCCACAATGAAAGTAAACTCCATATGGAGTTTCTTTGATGCCCATCATCTTCTCTGAAGTAGATTGGTGCTGCCAGGAGCAGACATGTCTCATAGTCATAAAAAAGGAATCTATGTTATTAAAACATCTTAAATGCCATAGTCTGCAGATCTCTGAAGTGTTTGAAGATGACCTGTCTATATAAAATATATCTCTGCTTGATCTTAGAAACATACCTAATATGACTACAAGTTTGATTATAATGACTAATTACTAACTTACATTTCTTTATATCCTAATTAGTTGATAATAATAACTTTTAAGAACTAGCAAATTGCACTATATTGTTAAATGAACTGTATAGGTACAATACCTTGAACAAGATTAGAATTATATTTACAGTATTTTCTAATAAAGTTAATCTCAAATTTGTATCAACATAAAAATTGGTATACAATATATAAAAATCCAATCCAATGTAAAATATTTAAAACTAGTAGTTGCCTTTTAAAAGAAAATTCAATATTCTACCATTTTATCTTTTCATATCCATATTCTCTCTTTTTTTCTTTTTAGATTAGATTCAATAATCTACCCTTTATTTTATATTTTCTACATCTTTTTTTCAGAGTAAGATTCAATAATCTCTTATCTATATCCTCTTTTTTTTCAAATAAGAACCCTGAATATAATTTCCTTTGTTTAATGATTTTCCTGACCATTAATAATGAACAGCTTGTAACCAATCATCTTAAACAATGACTATTATCCAAAACCCACCCACCCTACCTCTTGGGAATGTGGGTGTCATGTTCTTAAAATTACTTCCTGCTGTCTGGGGGCAAAAGCATCTTTAGGGGATCCTGAAAACAAAATTTTTTGGGTTAATTGTCAAATCCTGGGAGAGGTAGCTGTACCATTTGTTGTCCAGTCTCTACGTAATGCAAAAGTGCAGGGCTTATCTCAAGTCCTTGCTTGGGTAGTCTGTGAGGCAGGATCATCTTAGTTAGCCATCTCAAAATTGTCCTGAGCAGTTTGTAGTACAAAGCCAATCTTTGGGTGGTGTTTATCGTTGTCCTGATGGAATCATCGTTGTGGAGCCCCATCATCTTTTTGGAGACTTCAGATTTGCTATTAGGCATGGTCATAATTACCTGCAGAAAACTGATAGAGACTCAAACACAAAAACATGTAGAAGCAGCTAGATGAAGCTTTTTTTCTGGAATGTTAGTACTCTATATGACCATTAATATTATGACAAAAGTTTAAAAACATATACATGTAAATCTTATAAATTTTGATATAAAATTAATGCCTTGAAAAATGTTTTAAAGAATCTAAATAGAACCAAAGAATTACAAGATTAGTGGCAATAGATTAATTTTGGTTTTCTTCTGTCCCATATCAGATGGCTCTTCTGAAATGATAGAGATTTTTCATTTTCTTTTTTTAAAATTTTTAAAATTTTTTCAAGACAGGGTTTCTCTGTGTAGTTTTGGTGCCTGTCCTGGATCTCACTTTGTACACCAGGCTGGCCTCAAACTCACAGAGATCCACCTGGCTCAGCCTCCTGAGTACTGGGATTAAAGGCGTGTGCCACCACCGCCCAGCCCATTTTCTTTTAGCAAGCATGTTTAGGTACAAAGAAAGAGAAAGCCATTCTCCAACTCCAAAGGCATCTTTAGTTTTTAATTGAACTAGGACTACATAAAGATCATTTGTGTTAAGTGTCTGTAGAGGACAGCAGAAACAAACATTTAGGATGACTTTTGAAATTTTATATGTGATGTACCAATAGGTCAATTTACTCTTTTTCTTGAGACATTTTCTTTCTGGATAATTTGTCCTTTTTCTTCAGATGTCTTGTTTGTCCAGTTTTCTTCAGATTCCTTAGCCTTCATTCTCCTGAAAGACAAAAACAAAAACCTTTCCCCAAGCCTAACTCTGGGGAAGTTCCCTTTTGGTAAGTTATATCTGATTAAGTGAAAAGCATTTGTTAGTGGAATAAGTTAGTTTAAACTGAACGAATAGTTTAAACTGGTTGATGATTTGTCACCTCTTCTAATTAAGAGGTCTCTTATTCAAATTGACCTTTGTCAAATTTGATGGTATCCATAACTTTTGTTCTGCTGTAGAACAAAAGCAAAACCTTGTCCCCAACGTAACACATATCCTGGTTCCCATTCTGAGGTCAGCACATCCTTAAAGTATATAGGCTGATTTAATTCTGTAGTATTTTCTGTTATACAATGTCTCTTCCACAGCTGTTGTTTCTTTCTCATTAGCATTGAGAAAATTCAAAGTTAACAGAGCATTATGTAATCTATTTCTGGGGTTTTTTGTTATCCCTTTCTGTTTATTTAGCATATCCTTTAGAGTTTGAGTTGATCTTTCCATGACTGCTTGGCCTGTAGGATTATGTGATATACCTGTAATATGCTTTATATTGTAATAAGCAAAAAACTGTTTCATTTTACCAGAGACATATGCTGGATCATTGTCAGTTTTAATTTGTATAGGTATACCCATGATAGCCATAACTTCTAGCAAATGCATGATTACCAAATCAGCCTTTTCACAACTCAGAGTAGTTGTCCCCTGAAATCCTGAATAATTATCAATGGTATGATGTACATATTCCAGTTTTCCAAATTCTGCAAAATGAAACACATCCATCTGCCAGATTTCATTCCTCTGAGTACCTTTTGGGTTACATCCTGCTGGTAATGGCGTT